TGTTGGTTTGTTGACTTTGTGCCGAGGAAGACGCTTGCGTATCGATGAACCTGAAACAACTTCCTATGGGCGACCTCGCTATGCCTATGGAAAAAACATGTACAATTGGTCAAAACGAGCGCCTGCAACTGGTCGATTATTACGCATTTACCTGAACTAAAGTCCGTGGCAACCAATTTGGAAAATAATAACCCTGTGACTCGAGAAATGCCGATAAATTTCTCCAAATACGTGAAATTTTCGAGACACTCATAGAGAACTGTCGAAATTGTTATATTTCGGGTGAGTCCCCTACAAAATACGAGATGCTCGTGGGCCGATGTCCTTCCTGTGCCTACAAGAAAACTAAACCGAATAAGTATGGACTGATGATGCAAAGACTCACCACTACCTGCTCAATGCTTTCGTCTATACGAACAGAAATATCACAGCAGATGACTGGTTCACGTCAGTAGAATTACATGTAGAATTGCGCATCAACCAACTGACCTATGTCGGCAGGAAGCGTAAAAATAAGTAACAAGTACCCCAACATGTAGTTCCAAATAAGAAGGAAACACAGCCAGGTACTTCTAAGTTTATGTTGTACAGCCTTAGAGTAGTATCTTCCAAAACCAAATACACATGTTCTCGTATAGCAATCTATGCAGCATGATAACAAAATAGTAGAGGAATCAAAGAAACCTGATAAGATCCTATATTATTTTTATAACACTATGAAGGCGGGGGGTAATGCATTAGATCGGAAGTGTGTAAATTACAATACTGGTTAGAGAACGAGAAGATGGCCTTGTGCTATTTGGTATCCAACCAGCTTCTGTAAATTCCTTTTTTTTTCAGTCTGGGACTGAAAGTTCCATTAGGCGACGAAATTTTATTGTTCCCCTGAGGCAAACTCTAATTTTAACTTCGTATGAGAGGACGTTTATCAGATCCAAGACTTCCTAGGGAGCTTCGTTCAGCCATGCAAAGAATCCTAAATTACCAACGACGAATAAAGTAAGCCGTCTACTTCTCAGCCCAGAGTTCTCGATCCTGATGCAGTTGTTAAAGAAAAAAAACGACGTAGGTGTTACATGACAATACACAATGAAAAAAATGTTCTACAATCTGTAATAAGTATGTAAAGTCACAGCGCACTTACATTGTTTCGTGAAAAGTGATAAATGTTAATTATTGTATGTTTCCTTATACGAGAAAGTATTTGTTTTTGTTGTAGAATATCAACACCAAATATGTTGTTAAATGGCCCATTTTGTTAGTTTTTTTATGTTCATATTACAGTTCAAGTTTCGAGGATTATATTTATTGCATTACTCATCTTCAATGGGGTATTTTCGTTTTTAGACAATAAACAGTTTTCATGTAAGAGTGTCTTATGCGTACAAACCTGTTGTACACATGGCTAAAAACAGTAATGGCATTTCAGATGTTGATAGTAAGATCCGGTGGATAACCTGTTTTGCGAGATTAGACGTGGGATTTCCAACACGAACACCATCTGTTTATTTGAAGCATTAAAAACTGTAATAATCAACAATTTCAGTTTTCCATTGACAATAATGAAGAATTATGAAGGCGATTCATGTAAGGCACTAGGTAACTTCGCGTTGCTTTTAGAAGAGTATTGTCTGAATAGACAACAGTTACCTTGTGATTCTTCACCGAGCTGCATTTTTCAAGTTGAAAAATCGGGTGCTGAAAGTGATGGATCTATAGATTTGTGAGAATTTGCTGCTGCTTCAACTTCTTTTTGTAATAACAATAACAGTCTATATGAAATTTAACAATTCTGTTTCTTCTTTGATTTTGAGTCACCCTGTAAATGTAGCTCTACTAAACTATCGGACCGCATTCATAGCCTACAAGAGAAAAAAATCTTCTATACTGGAAAGGAGGAAAAAAAGAATGTATCAACCTGATACATCTGCCCCTCTTTATAACCCGTGAAATAGCCCTAGTTCTAATTAAATTTCAGTTCAAGCTTCCAAAATGACTTCCAACAATATTAAAGTAGCCACAAAGATCAGACCAATGATCCACCGCGAAGTAGCCGATGGTCTAGAGCGTCTTTGGAACGTAAGAGTAAACTGCATATGGGAAGCCGATGAAAGTAGTCGCCATGGAGAGGTTTATATATTCGACCATGTATTTAATCAGGAATGTACAAATTCAGATGTATATGGATCTGTAGTAAAACCTTTAGTCGATTCCTTCATGGAAGGTTTCAATGCCACAATATTTGCATATGGCCAAACATCTTCTGGCAAAACACACACCATTTTGGGCAATAAAACAGATCCTGGGCTTTTCCAATTAGTATCCAATCAGTTATTCCAGCATGTGGCAGACCAGGTTGATAAGAGGTACTTGATTAGATGCAGTTATATTGAAATCTACAATGAAAAGATCAATGACCTCCTGGATAAGAGCAATCAGGGTTTAACTATGAGAAGATATCAAAGGAAATGTGCTGCTTGATGCAAGGGAAGCTGTCGTAGACAATGTTGATAAAGTTATGGAGAACATGATGCAGGGCAATAAGATCAGACGAGTTGCAGCTACTCGCATGAATGAGAGGTCATCTCGATCACACACGATTTTCCGGATTATTCTGGAGTCGAAAGATGCCAATCAGAAAGATGGACCTGTACATATAAGCTACCTTAACTTAATGGACTTAGCTGGTTCTGAGAGAGTTTCTCTGACGAAAGCTGCTGGTGAGCGTCTTAAAGAGGGGGCTAACATAAACAAATCTTTGTCAGTATTAGGAAATGTGATAAGGCAACTAAGCGAGGGGAAGGAGTTTATCAGTTATCGCGATTCGAAATTGACTAGACTGCTCTCACAGGCTCTTGGCGGTAATGCCAAATCATTGATTATCGGGAATGTTACTTTAGCTGCAGAGGAGGAGACTAGATCTACACCAGAATTCGCCCAAAGCACTAAAACTGTCAAAAATAAAACGAAAGTAAACATCTTGTCAGCTACAGAAGAGACACTTCAAGGATATCAGAACTTGACTCGCGATCTCGAAACTCGGCTCAAAAAGCAGGCAATTAAGCTAAAAGAGATGGATAAAAGCAAACAAGAGTATCTGCTCGAGATAGAAAGACTAAAAACGGAAGTATCTATTGTCGGGCGCTTTCAAATGGGAGCCTCGGCATCAACACCGAAAAAAACATTAAGACGTCATACTTTTGGACACTATGGCAACGTATCACCTAAAAAAGCATCCCTAGGGTATATGCCATTGAAAAATTATCCACCCAAAGAAGAATCATCCGGACGTGAAATGAGGCCTATTCAAGAAGAGACATATGAGGAGGCACTAGCCGAAGCAGAATCTGTGATAGCTGAAGACGTGCAAGTGTACTTAAAAGACAACGCAAAGAACTGGAAGAAGAATCTTTCAATGAGCTTAGAGAATTCACTAAACTAGATAATCAGCTGGAGATTTTGGACCTGAAGAAACAGCTCACAGAAGCCAATTCTAAAATCGATCGTTACAGTCAGGAACTCCGCCAAGTAACGGATGCGTACAACGAAGAAATAGAAAGAGTTCAAAAAAATTCTCAAAAAGCGCAAGAATTTCATCGACTTGCAATACAGACTCGATTTTCTGGAAAAAAAATAATAAAAGACTAAAAACATACGAGTCAGAAATAGAGATGCTGCGTACTCAACTGAAGAACCTAGGAAGATCAGAGAGCCCTAAACCATCTCTTGAAGCTCAAAATATTGAGTCAAAAAAGAAGGTTGCAGACTTAGAAGCTATGCTTGACGCTGAGTACGAAGATATGCAAGATTCTTTAAGTGCTGCTACACAAACTGATGTAACGATGTCACACATTGCTGAACTGCAAGATGAAATTGGCTTCCTAAAAGAACTTGAATCTAAACTGAGAAATGACGTAAAGAGTCTGATGGACGAGAGTAACCAACGTGAGGTCAACCACTCATTTAAAATCTCAGATATACGATGCCATAATGATTCTACTATAAAAGAGCTTCAGGATCAAATGGCTGAACTGGAATGCCAAAACGAAATCTGGATTATGAAAAGTGCCCCTCTTTATAACCCGTGAAATAGCCCTAGTTCTAATTAAATTTCAGTTCAAGCTTCCAAAATGACTTCCGACAATATTAAAGTAGCCACAAAGATCAGACCAATGATCCACCGCGAAGTAGCCGATGGTCTAGAGCGTCTTTGGAACGTAAGAGTAAACTGCATATGGGAAGCCGATGAAAGTAGTCGCCATGGAGAGGTTTATATATTCGACCATGTATTTAAGCAGGAATGTACAAATTCAGATGTATATGGATCTGTAGTAAAACCTTTAGTCGATTCCTTCATGGAAGGTTTCAATGCCACAATATTTGCATATGGCCAAACATCTTCTGGCAAAACACACCATTTTGGGCAATAAAACAGATCCTGGGCTTTTCCAATTAGTATCCAATCAGTTATTCCAGCATGTGGCAGACCAGGTTGATAAGAGGTACTTGATTAGATGCAGTTATATTGAAATCTACAATGAAAAGATCAATGACCTCCTGGATAAGAGCAATCAGGGTTTAACTATAAGAGAAGATATCAAAGGAAATGTGCTGCTTGATGCAAGGGAAGCTGTCGTAGACAATGTTGATAAAGTTATGGAGAACATGATGCAGGGCAATAAGATCAGACGAGTTGCAGCTACTCGCATGAATGAGAGGTCATCTCGATCACACACGATTTTCCGGATTATTCTGGAGTCGAAAGATGCCAATCAGAAAGATGGACCTGTACATATAAGCTACCTTAACTTAATGGACTTAGCTGGTTCTGAGAGAGTTTCTCTGACGAAAGCTGCTGGTGAGCGTCTTAAAGAGGGGGCTAACATAAACAAATCTTTGTCAGTATTAGGAAATGTGATAAGGCAACTAAGCGAGGGGAAGGAGTTTATCAGTTATCGCGATTCGAAATTGACTAGACTGCTCTCACAGGCTCTTGGCGGTAATGCCAAATCATTGATTATCGGGAATGTTACTTTAGCTGCAGAGGAGGAGACTAGATCTACACCAGAATTCGCCCAAAGCACTAAAACTGTCAAAAATAAAACGAAAGTAAACATCTTGTCAGCTACAGAAGAGACACTTCAAGGATATCAGAACTTGACTCGCGATCTCGAAACTCGGCTCAAAAAGCAGGCAATTAAGCTAAAAGAGATGGATAAAAGCAAACAAGAGTATCTGCTCGAGATAGAAAGACTAAAAACGGAAGTATCTATTGTCGGGCGCTTTCAAATGGGAGCCTCGGCATCAACACCGAAAAAAACATTAAGACGTCATACTTTTGGACACTATGGCAACGTATCACCTAAAAAAGCATCCCTAGGGTATATGCCATTGAAAAATTATCCACCCAAAGAAGAATCATCCGGACGTGAAATGAGGCCTATTCAAGAAGAGACATATGAGGAGGCACTAGCCGAAGCAGAATCTGTGATAGCTGAAGACGTGCAAGTGTACTTAAAAGACAACTCAAAGAACTGGAAGAATCTTTCAATGAGCTTAGAGAATTCACTAAACTAGATAATCAGCTGGAGATTTTGGACCTGAAGAAACAGCTCACAGAAGCCAATTCTAAATTCGATCGTTACAGTCAGGAACTCCGCCAAGTAACGGATGCGTACAACGAAGAAATAGAAAGAGTTCAAAAAAATTCTCAAAAAGCGCAAGAATTTCATCGACTTGCAATACAGACTCGATTTTCTGGAAAAAATAATAATAAAAAGACTAAAACATACGAGTCAGAAATAGAGATGCTGCGTACTCAACTGAAGAACCTAGGAAGATCAGAGAGCCCTAAACCATCTCTTGAAGCTCAAAATATTGAGTCAAAAAAGAAGGTTGCAGACTTAGAAGCTATGCTTGACGCTGAGTACGAAGATATGCAACATTCTTTAAGTGCTGCTGCACAAACTGATGTAACGATGTCACACATTGCTGAACTGCAAGATGAAATTGGCTTCCTAAAAGAACTTGAATCTAAACTGAGAAATGACGTAAAGAGTCTGATGGACGAGAGTAACCAACGTGAGGTCAACCACTCATTTAAAATCTCAGATATACGATGCCATAATGATTCTACTATAAAAGAGCTTCAGGATCAAATGGCTGAACTGGAATGCCAAAACGAAATCTGGATTATGAAAAAGGACGACGAAATCAGAAAATTGCAACAACTAATTACAAACCCGAAGCAGGCTGGCACTTAACCAGAACCACCTGTGCAGGAAGACGTTGCATTTTATAGGGAGCAAGTTGAGTTCTCCCAGAACATGTACAAAAATGAGATAATAGGTGGAGAGTTACGTATAAACCATAGAGAAAATCTTCAGGCAGTTAAACTAGAAATATGTCTACCCTTGTTTAGTGTTTACGATTATTGCAGGGTTTGGACAAAGTTTAGGGCTGATCCCAGTGCTCACAGTGTACAATTTTCAGCTAATAAATCTTGAATTCTGAGGTAACAAAATCAACTAGAACTCTGAAAAAGTGATTTATCAGAAATCATGCCCTTACTTCCATGATAAGAGGGATTCGTAAAAATTATAAGCAGGTTGTGGCTTATTATCTAGTAAAAGATACAAGAATCCCAGATCTGAAAACGATTATTGTTCATGTGATCACAAACTAGCAGCGACTTGGTTTGTGCGTTGTTGGCACTATTTCTAATCAGGGCGCAACGATCAAAAACGCACTTGAGACGATTTGCTCGGAGAATACTCACGGATCAAGTCCATTCCATTTTATAGTCAATGCTCAGAGTATTTCTACAATTTGTGATGAACCACATTTATTCAAAAATGGATGAAATGCTCTTATTGACATTAATATGAAAGTGAAGAAGCTGCACAGATTGAACATGTCTAGAAATCATATAATGTTGATCAGCAAACAAGACCATACAAAGAGCTATGTAAATTGAAACCCAGCCACTTTGATTTTATAGATTCGTTCAAGAATATAGAAATTAATCCTTTAATGATATCGTCGGATGATTCGAGCTTTCTCAGTTATGTGGTGGGGGTCCCGTGACTTCTCATACGGTATGAGCACGTATACCTCAAACCACAGTTTAATTTAAACATCACAATTGTTGGTTTGTTGACTTTGCCGAGAGGACGAGACGCTGCTATCGATCAACCTGAACAACTTCCTATGGGCGACCTCGCTATGCCTATGGAAAAAACATGTACAATTGGTCAAAACGAGCGCCTGCAACTGGTCGATTATTACGCATTTACCTGAACTAAAGTCCGTGGCAACCAATTTGGAAAATAATAACCCTGTGACTCGAGAAATGCCGATAAATTTCTCCAAATACGTGAAATTTTCGAGACACTCATAGAGAACTGTCGAAATTGTTATATTTCGGGTGAGTCCCCTACAAAATACGAGATGCTCGTGGGCCGATGTCCTTCCTGTGCCTACAAGAAAACTAAACCGAATAAGTATGGACTGATGATGCAAAGACTCACCACTACCTGCTCAATGCTTTCGTCTATACGAACAGAAATATCACAGCAGATGACTGGTTCACGTCAGTAGAATTACATGTAGAATTGCGCATCAACCAACTGACCTATGTCGGCAGGAAGCGTAAAAATAAGTAACAAGTACCCCAACATGTAGTTCCAAATAAGAAGGAAACACAGCCAGGTACTTCTAAGTTTATGTTGTACAGCCTTAGAGTAGTATCTTCCAAAACCAAATACACATGTTCTCGTATAGCAATCTATGCAGCATGATAACAAAATAGTAGAGGAATCAAAGAAACCTGATAAGATCCTATATTATTTTTATAACACTATGAAGGCGGGGGGTAATGCATTAGATCGGAAGTGTGTAAATTACAATACTGGTTAGAGAACGAGAAGATGGCCTTGTGCTATTTGGTATCCAACCAGCTTCTGTAAATTCCTTTTTTTTCAGTCTGGGACTGAAAGTTCCATTAGGCGACGAAATTTTATTGTTCCCCTGAGGCAAACTCTAATTTAACTTCGTATGAGAGGACGTTTATCAGATCCAAGACTTCCTAGGGAGCTTCGTTCAGCCATGCAAAGAATCCTAAATTACCAACGACGAATAAAGTAAGCCGTCTACTTCTCAGCCCAGAGTTCTCGATCCTGATGCAGTTGTTAAAGAAAAAAAACGACGTAGGTGTTACATGACAATACACAATGAAAAAAATGTTCTACAATCTGTAATAAGTATGTAAAGTCACAGCGCACTTACATTGTTTCGTGAAAAGTGATAAATGTTAATTATTGTATGTTTCCTTATACGAGAAAGTATTTGTTTTTGTTGTAGAATATCAACACCAAATATGTTGTTAAATGGCCCATTTTGTTAGTTTTTTTATGTTCATATTACAGTTCAAGTTTCGAGGATTATATTTATTGCATTACTCATCTTCAATGGGGTATTTTCGTTTTTAGACAATAAACAGTTTTCATGTAAGAGTGTCTTATGCGTACAAACCTGTTGTACACATGGCTAAAAACAGTAATGGCATTTCAGATGTTGATAGTAAGATCCGGTGGATAACCTGTTTTGCGAGATTAGACGTGGGATTTCCAACACGAACACCATCTGTTTATTTGAAGCATTAAAAACTGTAATAATCAACAATTTCAGTTTTCCATTGACAATAATGAAGAATTATGAAGGCGATTCATGTAAGGCACTAGGTAACTTCGCGTTGCTTTTAGAAGAGTATTGTCTGAATAGACAACAGTTACCTTGTGATTCTTCGAGCTGCATTTTTCAAGTTGAAAAATCGGGTGCTGAAAGTGATGGATCTATAGATTTGTGAGAATTTGCTGCTGCTTCAACTTCTTTTTGTAATAACAATAACAGTCTATATGAAATTTAACAATTCTGTTTCTTCTTTGATTTTGAGTCACCCTGTAAATGTAGCTCTACTAAACTATCGGACCGCATTCATAGCCTACAAGAGAAAAAAATCTTCTATACTGGAAAGGAGGAAAAAAAGAATGTATCAACCTGATACATCTGCCCCTCTTTATAACCCGTGAAATAGCCCTAGTTCTAATTAAATTTCAGTTCAAGCTTCCAAAATGACTTCCAACAATATTAAAGTAGCCACAAAGATCAGACCAATGATCCACCGCGAAGTAGCCGATGGTCTAGAGCGTCTTTGGAACGTAAGAGTAAACTGCATATGGGAAGCCGATGAAAGTAGTCGCCATGGAGAGGTTTATATATTCGACCATGTATTTAATCAGGAATGTACAAATTCAGATGTATATGGATCTGTAGTAAAACCTTTAGTCGATTCCTTCATGGAAGGTTTCAATGCCACAATATTTGCATATGGCCAAACATCTTCTGGCAAAACACACACCATTTTGGGCAATAAAACAGATCCTGGGCTTTTCCAATTAGTATCCAATCAGTTATTCCAGCATGTGGCAGACCAGGTTGATAAGAGGTACTTGATTAGATGCAGTTATATTGAAATCTACAATGAAAAGATCAATGACCTCCTGGATAAGAGCAATCAGGGTTTAACTATGAGAAGATATCAAAGGAAATGTGCTGCTTGATGCAAGGGAAGCTGTCGTAGACAATGTTGATAAAGTTATGGAGAACATGATGCAGGGCAATAAGATCAGACGAGTTGCAGCTACTCGCATGAATGAGAGGTCATCTCGATCACACACGATTTTCCGGATTATTCTGGAGTCGAAAGATGCCAATCAGAAAGATGGACCTGTACATATAAGCTACCTTAACTTAATGGACTTAGCTGGTTCTGAGAGAGTTTCTCTGACGAAAGCTGCTGGTGAGCGTCTTAAAGAGGGGGCTAACATAAACAAATCTTTGTCAGTATTAGGAAATGTGATAAGGCAACTAAGCGAGGGGAAGGAGTTTATCAGTTATCGCGATTCGAAATTGACTAGACTGCTCTCACAGGCTCTTGGCGGTAATGCCAAATCATTGATTATCGGGAATGTTACTTTAGCTGCAGAGGAGGAGACTAGATCTACACCAGAATTCGCCCAAAGCACTAAAACTGTCAAAAATAAAACGAAAGTAAACATCTTGTCAGCTACAGAAGAGACACTTCAAGGATATCAGAACTTGACTCGCGATCTCGAAACTCGGCTCAAAAAGCAGGCAATTAAGCTAAAAGAGATGGATAAAAGCAAACAAGAGTATCTGCTCGAGATAGAAAGACTAAAAACGGAAGTATCTATTGTCGGGCGCTTTCAAATGGGAGCCTCGGCATCAACACCGAAAAAAACATTAAGACGTCATACTTTTGGACACTATGGCAACGTATCACCTAAAAAAGCATCCCTAGGGTATATGCCATTGAAAAATTATCCACCCAAAGAAGAATCATCCGGACGTGAAATGAGGCCTATTCAAGAAGAGACATATGAGGAGGCACTAGCCGAAGCAGAATCTGTGATAGCTGAAGACGTGCAAGTGTACTTAAAAGACAACGCAAAGAACTGGAAGAATCTTTCAATGAGCTTAGAGAATTCACTAAACTAGATAATCAGCTGGAGATTTTGGACCTGAAGAAACAGCTCACAGAAGCCAATTCTAAAATCGATCGTTACAGTCAGGAACTCCGCCAAGTAACGGATGCGTACAACGAAGAAATAGAAAGAGTTCAAAAAAATTCTCAAAAAGCGCAAGAATTTCATCGACTTGCAATACAGACTCGATTTTCTGGAAAAAAATAATAAAAAGACTAAAAACATACGAGTCAGAAATAGAGATGCTGCGTACTCAACTGAAGAACCTAGGAAGATCAGAGAGCCCTAAACCATCTCTTGAAGCTCAAAATATTGAGTCAAAAAAGAAGGTTGCAGACTTAGAAGCTATGCTTGACGCTGAGTACGAAGATATGCAAGATTCTTTAAGTGCTGCTACACAAACTGATGTAACGATGTCACACATTGCTGAACTGCAAGATGAAATTGGCTTCCTAAAAGAACTTGAATCTAAACTGAGAAATGACGTAAAGAGTCTGATGGACGAGAGTAACCAACGTGAGGTCAACCACTCATTTAAAATCTCAGATATACGATGCCATAATGATTCTACTATAAAAGAGCTTCAGGATCAAATGGCTGAACTGGAATGCCAAAACGAAATCTGGATTATGAAAAGTGCCCCTCTTTATAACCCGTGAAATAGCCCTAGTTCTAATTAAATTTCAGTTCAAGCTTCCAAAATGACTTCCGACAATATTAAAGTAGCCACAAAGATCAGACCAATGATCCACCGCGAAGTAGCCGATGGTCTAGAGCGTCTTTGGAACGTAAGAGTAAACTGCATATGGGAAGCCGATGAAAGTAGTCGCCATGGAGAGGTTTATATATTCGACCATGTATTTAAGCAGGAATGTACAAATTCAGATGTATATGGATCTGTAGTAAAACCTTTAGTCGATTCCTTCATGGAAGGTTTCAATGCCACAATATTTGCATATGGCCAAACATCTTCTGGCAAAACACACACCATTTTGGGCAATAAAACAGATCCTGGGCTTTTCCAATTAGTATCCAATCAGTTATTCCAGCATGTGGCAGACCAGGTTGATAAGAGGTACTTGATTAGATGCAGTTATATTGAAATCTACAATGAAAAGATCAATGACCTCCTGGATAAGAGCAATCAGGGTTTAACTATAAGAGAAGATATCAAAGGAAATGTGCTGCTTGATGCAAGGGAAGCTGTCGTAGACAATGTTGATAAAGTTATGGAGAACATGATGCAGGGCAATAAGATCAGACGAGTTGCAGCTACTCGCATGAATGAGAGGTCATCTCGATCACACACGATTTTCCGGATTATTCTGGAGTCGAAAGATGCCAATCAGAAAGATGGACCTGTACATATAAGCTACCTTAACTTAATGGACTTAGCTGGTTCTGAGAGAGTTTCTCTGACGAAAGCTGCTGGTGAGCGTCTTAAAGAGGGGGCTAACATAAACAAATCTTTGTCAGTATTAGGAAATGTGATAAGGCAACTAAGCGAGGGGAAGGAGTTTATCAGTTATCGCGATTCGAAATTGACTAGACTGCTCTCACAGGCTCTTGGCGGTAATGCCAAATCATTGATTATCGGGAATGTTACTTTAGCTGCAGAGGAGGAGACTAGATCTACACCAGAATTCGCCCAAAGCACTAAAACTGTCAAAAATAAAACGAAAGTAAACATCTTGTCAGCTACAGAAGAGACACTTCAAGGATATCAGAACTTGACTCGCGATCTCGAAACTCGGCTCAAAAAGCAGGCAATTAAGCTAAAAGAGATGGATAAAAGCAAACAAGAGTATCTGCTCGAGATAGAAAGACTAAAAACGGAAGTATCTATTGTCGGGCGCTTTCAAATGGGAGCCTCGGCATCAACACCGAAAAAAACATTAAGACGTCATACTTTTGGACACTATGGCAACGTATCACCTAAAAAAGCATCCCTAGGGTATATGCCATTGAAAAATTATCCACCCAAAGAAGAATCATCCGGACGTGAAATGAGGCCTATTCAAGAAGAGACATATGAGGAGGCACTAGCCGAAGCAGAATCTGTGATAGCTGAAGACGTGCAAGTGTACTTAAAAGACAACTCAAAGAACTGGAAGAATCTTTCAATGAGCTTAGAGAATTCACTAAACTAGATAATCAGCTGGAGATTTTGGACCTGAAGAAACAGCTCACAGAAGCCAATTCTAAATTCGATCGTTACAGTCAGGAACTCCGCCAAGTAACGGATGCGTACAACGAAGAAATAGAAAGAGTTCAAAAAAATTCTCAAAAAGCGCAAGAATTTCATCGACTTGCAATACAGACTCGATTTTCTGGAAAAAAATAATAAAAAGACTAAAAACATACGAGTCAGAAATAGAGATGCTGCGTACTCAACTGAAGAACCTAGGAAGATCAGAGAGCCCTAAACCATCTCTTGAAGCTCAAAATATTGAGTCAAAAAAGAAGGTTGCAGACTTAGAAGCTATGCTTGACGCTGAGTACGAAGATATGCAACATTCTTTAAGTGCTGCTGCACAAACTGATGTAACGATGTCACACATTGCTGAACTGCAAGATGAAATTGGCTTCCTAAAAGAACTTGAATCTAAACTGAGAAATGACGTAAAGAGTCTGATGGACGAGAGTAACCAACGTGAGGTCAACCACTCATTTAAAATCTCAGATATACGATGCCATAATGATTCTACTATAAAAGAGCTTCAGGATCAAATGGCTGAACTGGAATGCCAAAACGAAATCTGGATTATGAAAAAGGACGACGAAATCAGAAAATTGCAACAACTAATTACAAACCCGAAGCAGGCTGGCACTTAACCAGAACCACCTGTGCAGGAAGACGTTGCATTTTATAGGGAGCAAGTTGAGTTCTCCCAGAACATGTACAAAAATGAGATAATAGGTGGAGAGTTACGTATAAACCATAGAGAAAATCTTCAGGCAGTTAAACTAGAAATATGTCTACCCTTGTTTAGTGTTTACGATTATTGCAGGGTTTGGACAAAGTTTAGGGCTGATCCCAGTGCTCACAGTGTACAATTTTCAGCTAATAAATCTTGAATTCTGAGGTAACAAAATCAACTAGAACTCTGAAAAAGTGATTTATCAGAAATCATGCCCTTACTTCCATGATAAGAGGGATTCGTAAAAATTATAAGCAGGTTGTGGCTTATTATCTAGTAAAAGATACAAGAATCCCAGATCTGAAAACGATTATTGTTCATGTGATCACAAACTAGCAGCGACTTGGTTTGTGCGTTGTTGGCACTATTTCTAATCAGGGCGCAACGATCAAAAACGCACTTGAGACGATTTGCTCGGAGAATACTCACGGATCAAGTCCATTCCATTTTATAGTCAATGCTCAGAGTATTTCTACAATTTGTGATGAACCACATTTATTCAAAAATGGATGAAATGCTCTTATTGACATTAATATGAAAGTGAAGAAGCTGCACAGATTGAACATGTCTAGAAATCATATAATGTTGATCAGCAAACAAGACCATACAAAGAGCTATGTAAATTGAAACCCAGCCACTTTGATTTTATAGATTCGTTCAAGAATATAGAAATTAATCCTTTAATGATATCGTCGGATGATTCGAGCTTTCTCAGTTATGTGGTGGGGGTCCCGTGACTTCTCATACGGTATGAGCACGTATACCTCAAACCACAGTTTAATTTAAACATCACAATTGTTGGTTTGTTGACTTTGCGGTCAAATTTGATCCGAGGATGTCAGTTGCGTGTACGATTTGAACTTCCTTCACAATGGATTTTTTCGTTGTTGACGGATGAACAATACACTATAGACTACGCCGAGGACGACGCTGCTATCGATCAACCTGAACAACTTCCTATGGGCGACCTCGCTATGCCTATGGAAAAAACATGTACAATTGGTCAAAACGAGCGCCTGCAACTGGTCGATTATTACGCATTTACCTGAACTAAAGTCCGTGGCAACCAATTTGGAAAATAATAACCCTGTGACTCGAGAAATGCCGATAAATTTCTCCAAATACGTGAAATTTTCGAGACACTCATAGAGAACTGTCGAAATTGTTATATTTCGGGTGAGTCCCCTACAAAATACGAGATGCTCGTGGGCCGATGTCCTTCCTGTGCCTACAAGAAAACTAAACCGAATAAGTATGGACTGATGATGCAAAGACTCACCACTACCTGCTCAATGCTTTCGTCTATACGAACAGAAATATCACAGCAGATGACTGGTTCACGTCAGTAGAATTACATGTAGAATTGCGCATCAACCAACTGACCTATGTCGGCAGGAAGCGTAAAAAAAGTAACAAGTACCCCAACATGTAGTTCCAAATAAGAAGGAAACACAGCCAGGTACTTCTAAGTTTATGTTGTACAGCCTTAGAGTAGTATCTTCCAAAACCAAATACACATGTTCTCGTATAGCAATCTATGCAGCATGATAACAAAATAGTAGAGGAATCAAAGAAACCTGATAAGATCCTATATTATTTTTATAACACTATGAAGGCGGGGGGTAATGCATTAGATCGGAAGTGTGTAAATTACAATACTGGTTAGAGAACGAGAAGATGGCCTTGTGCTATTTGGTATCCAACCA